AACAGCAATAAAAACTTTTATTTCTATACTATATGTGGTCGTATAGCACATGTACAAAAATAGGCCACACCTACTTAATATTAAGGATTCATTTCATTCTTCTGTCAAAGCGTTTGCACCACCTAGAAAGAACCTTTAGAGACCCCTATAACGTCGACATATGATTGATCGAATCTGAACCGTTCTAGACATGAATATCAGTCCGTCTGTACTCCTGTTCGGAGATATTTGCTTTACGCACAGGGTGTAAAGTTTCTTTTTCCAAAAATAGAAAAAAAGCAGGATATCAATTTTTGACTTTTTTTAGTCTCTTTGCAATCACGACGACGGGTACAACAGACTAGATTGCAACCGAATATAATTTTCTTAGTAATTTTCTTTTTTTGCCCAAAGATCTAATGTTCAATTGACTAAAATAAACTTGAAAAGCAAAAAAAAGGTAAGAAAATCAAGTTCGGTTGAGACCAAATCTTTTATAATTATCACCGTTATCCTAAAACAGACAAAAGAAGTAAAAGAACATAATTTTCATGTTCTATAGTATGGAATGGGCTCAGTTGATTGCTTCTATTTTCAAAATAAATGTTTCTGTCGTACAGTCTAGGCGTTGTGGATGTTCCCTTTAAAAAGCTTAAGTGAATTCCAATTTCTTTTGCAAATTTGTAGGCCATATCTTCATATTCGCTAACAGGAGCCAGTTACCACAAATACTACAAAGTTGCGCCAACAGGCAGATGTGTACGTTTAGGTGTTTTCTATGGTCGGAACTGGCCAAGAATTTGTATACTTTCTGTGTTTTTTAAAGGTTATTTCTGCGCTTTATAATGGTATTCTAAAAGAAATTAAATTTTGATACACCGTAATACTGGATAGGCGTTTACCATTTTTGTATATAAATAGCACAGCATCGCCCATAGAATAAGCTTTCAAATTTTTGAGTAATGACCAAAAAGGCAACTTTTAATTCCTTTTGAAAAACAGGGGTTTCCTCATCTTATATGGTGCTGTAGGCGTGTCCTTCGACCGATTTGATCCATTTTCATCAAGCTGCGTGCAAAAACTTCCAATGTTGAAGTCCATTGCTTCATTTTTGCGGCCCGGCGAACATTTATAACAAACATTACACAGACGGACCGCCGGACATCCTTAAATCGATTTAGGATTTGATGCTGATGAAGAATATATATACTTTGTAGGGTCTCTGATACTTCCTTCTGGTCATTGCAAGCGTTTTCATCAAATAAATACACCCCTTATCCTTCGGTGAAGGGTATAATAAATAAAAGAAAAAGACTTTTTTCAATTAACTTTTATTTAAATGAACTAAATGGCATAAAATTAATTTTGTGTCAGTCACTTTTATGCTGTTATATATGAAATGTTGCAACGTTTACAAAAAAATCAAATTTTCTCTACGTTAAAATGTTTAGTGCGTTCCAAGCTTTTATGCACAGTCACGTAAAAGCCACAAAATTTACTTATTTATTGTATATATATTGTATTTCACTTAAATAAAGACCAAAGAAATTATGTAATCTAAAATGAAAACAAAATTTTGGATTTGAAGGTCAAGCTTTACTATTCCCTTTCTATAAATAAAGATGGGAAAGGTACCGACTCGGCCGCTAGATGGGTTCGCTTATTTCCTAAGAGACCAATATGAGTCGGTGCTTTAAAAATTTTAATTTTGTCTCTGTAAGTGACAATTGTTTTTGTTTTACTCTACACCGCTAATCATACACAGATCTATTAAGTTTGTGCGGATGGAAGCAACACATAGAAGGACTACAGGTGGACACATGTGTTATTATGCTGACGGATTCGCAATCATCTTTTGTATTGACTCAAGTTTGCCTATCCGTATGGTTACCGCTATTTTAAATTTATAGAAGAATTCACTATACTACGTTGTATTGTCATCGAAACTACACCTGTTTGCAAAATTTCGACATGATCGGGCGGAGAGAAATGATAAATATAACGATTGGCATTTTCCGCACTGTCAACAAATCTAATAATGACCACAATTTTCTGTTCATTTCTGCAAGTGCTCCATTATTCCAGAACTTTGCATCTATTATTTACAATCCCTACAATGACCTTAATCGACTTTGAGCAGCATATGCTTGCCCGACGATATATATATATATATTAGTTTGGGGAAAAAGAAATCCATTGTTTTTATATGAACTTCAGGACTATATTTAACATGCTTCGGATTGTCCGATTTGGGTCAAATATGCACCGTTTTGTTGTACGGTTTGTTGCCATTTTAAAGGTATCTTCAAAATGCCTCTCTCATAGAAGTCCTGGTCTCTATTTGCAAAAAACTCTAGTAGTCGATTTTCACAATCCTCCCTAGATTCCAATTTTTTATCATTAAAGAAATTTTGCAATGTAAGAAAAAGATGATAATCGCTTGGTGCTAAGTCCGGACTGTATGGCGAATGCATTAAAACTTCCCAACCAACCTCCCGAAGTTTCTGGCGAGTCACTGTAGATGTGTGTGGCCTAGCGTTGTCCTGGTGGAACACGACACCTCTCCTGTTGGCCAATTCTGGCCGTTTCTGGTCAATCGCTATCTTCAAACGGTCCAGTTCTTGACAGTAGAGATCAGAATTTAGCGTTTGGCCATATGGAAGCAACTCATAATAAATAATCCCCTTCCAGTCCCACCAAATGCATAGCAAAACCTTCCTGGCCGTTAGTCCTGGTTTGACCACCGTTTGAGGTGCTTCACCGCTCTTTGACCACGATCGTTTTCGCACAGGGTTATCGTATGTGATCCATTTCTCATCTCCAGTCACCATCCGTTTAAGAAATGGGTCTATCTCATTCCGTTTGGCCAAGGCTTCGCAGATGGAAATTCGATCCATCATGTTTTTTTCTGTTAATTGGTGTGGCACCCAAACATCGAGCTTCTTTTTGAATCCAGCTTTGTGCAAATGGTTTAATACTGTTTTATGGTCGATTTTTAGCTCCTGGGCGATGTTACGACTGCTAACATGCCGGTCAACTTCGATCATTTCTCCGATTTTATCGACATTTTCGACGACCGGCCTCTACGGAATCTACGAAATCAAAATTGCACATAATTGGCTGTTACAGTATCGGAACCATAAACACCATTCACAATTTTAGCCGCCTGGCTTGCATTTTCGCCTTTGTCAAAGAAAAACTGTAAAATGTACCGAATTTTCTCTTTGTTCACTTCCATTTTTAACACGCTGTAACTCACAACTGAATGCACCAAACAAATAACAGCAAAAGAATTTTTTTTACTGCGAAATGTCACCTTTCCAACGAGCATAAATCTGAAATTGTTTGATCGATACTTTTCGAGAAATCTATCAGTGCAGCCATCTACCGAAAAAATAGTGGATTTCTTTTTCCCCAAACTAATATATACATATATAAATATGTTCGCTTTAAGACGACTCTTTGCTTCCCATTACTATTCTTATTTTAAGTTATTCGTGAAGCAGCCGACAAAAGCGTTTGCTGCAATATTTATAAAAGCCTGCTCAATAAAGATATTTTTACCAATTTGAGTAAAACAACGTTTTGAAAATGTCATTCCGCTTTGAAGACTTTTCGGTGTTTTTCCTACAAAGATCTAAATCTTTTCAGTTTTCGCTTTTTTACCTTGAAAGATTTCAGGCGCCGGTTTATGATTGTAAGAAGTGAGAACCTAAAACTGTGAATTTTTATACTTATACCACGTTTGGTCCAAGAGTAAGACAGACAATGAGTCAATGATTGAATAGCTACCAAACCAATATCGTTCGTTCGCCGCGGTATCGTCATATAGCCAGAAGGATTGGCAAAATATTCGGATAATAATAGGGATTGCATAAATTTTTCTCAACACATGCTCTTTTCAAGGAAAAAATGATCAAAATACAAAATTTTTAAAATATTTTGATAAAGTTTTGTGTTTTGGGTTAAAAACAAACGCTATTGAAAATGGTTCAGATCGAACACGTGCCACGTAACATACTTTTGAAAAGGGCGGATCCCGATCTACTGCCGTACTTTTATTATCTTACGAAAAATCTCTCGATCGTAAATTTGCTGTCGAGTAAATTATTCAAATTTCGATTGAGTTCACTTCGCTATCGGCAGCTATAGATCCGTCAAGGTTTCCCACAAAAAAGGTAATTAAACGTAGAATAAAGCATACGACCAAAAAAGTATATTGTACGACCAGAAAAGTATACTGTACGACCAAAAAAGTATATTGTACGACCAGAAAGTATAGCATACGAAAATTTTTACAGCTTATTACTTGCTGGCAATACCACGTAAGTATGTTTGCTCGTGCTATGTAAGCAGAACAAGGTGCCAACATACACACATACATGCATACATACGTATATCTACTCCACAAGCAAACACAAACGACACATTTGCATTATCTATAAGTATAAAAACATTGTTGCACAGTACGTAGAGAGATAGAAGGAGAAGTAGAAGACGAAGAAGAAGAAGAAGAAAAAGCTGGTAACTCACATACATGTATGTACAACAGAGAGGTGAAAATGAATGCCTTCGTAAGCACATTAATTATACAAATTAGGTGAATACAAATAACTCTCGGGAATTTAAGCGCACTTATGCAAAATACTCTAGAAAATTATCTAAGAAAAAATAATAATAACAATACGTTAATTAAAAAACGTTGTACAGAGAGCGAAGTAAAAACTAATTTTTTTAAAATTGTTCATACATTCATTTCATACATACTTTCATTCATTCATTTTGCATTTTCCAAAAAAAAAAAAAAAACCAAAGTTCGGTTAGAGAAAAAGGAAATTTTTGACAACGCTTGAGATAGAGAGACAATGTGTTAAAACATTTACAGGTTAAGTTCAAAAGGGGATTTTAGTTAGTAACGTAGTTAGTAAAGCAGACGATGGGAAGTATTGTAGAAGTTTAGAATAGATTTTGTTGTTGTGTAGTAGTTTTTGATGGCAAAAAAGTTTTGTTATGAACTTTACCTGAGCATTTTAGACCTTGGTGATAAATGCCATAGAGTAGCGAACCACAATGATCGCAGAAAGTTGGTCCTGCGTATGTGAATGGTTCAAAATGATGTACGGTTTTGGGTGAATCCTTTCAATGTATTTTATTATTTTTTTTTTATGTGTTTTTTTAAATTTATTTTGTGAGTAAAGTTTTCAATTCAATACAATTGAATTTGAGTTCGTGGTAGTAGTTGTTGATACATTGACGCGCGTTTTTCATTTATAAAATAATCATATTATTGACATGTTTTATTTTTGTTGTTTTCGAAGGTCGTTATATATGAACGTATAGGGTTTTGTTTTTTTATATTTTTTTTATATTTTTTTTTCGTTTTTTTTTTAATTTAATGAGATTTGTATTTTTTTTATATATTTATATTTAGATAAAATCCAAAAAAAAGTTTGAAATCAAAAAATAAAAAAGAAAACGAGCAAGTAAACAAACAAATCATAACCAATTATATAAATGGTGTTATTATTGTTATTATTGTAGAAAGAAGCATAAAAATGAATGTCTAGTTAGACGTTTCGCAAATTGCTATAAAATACAAATGTAATCCAAATGTAAACAGAAAAATGTGAAAACTCTATTACTATATATCATGCTATAAAAGTTTGCCCTGCGCAGGTAATTTTAGGCAAAACTAACTGTTTTTCTTTTTTTTTACATAAATCTATACCACATATGAATTTTTTGAATCTGTGTGTTCTGTTAAAGAAAATTTATATTAAAAAAATTCATTTTCTCTTCCCTGTATTTTATTATATTTGCCTTCTTAGCTGCTATTGCTTTTGTATGATCTAAAAAAGATTGTTTTTTATATCCACGTCTAAGGATCACTCTATAAAGTATATATAAGCGTGCCTGCCTGTCTGTTCGTCTTTGTAATGTCTTTGTAAAATACTTTCGTGTTCGTAAGAATGGAGACAACGGCTTCAAATTTGGAAGAAGTTCTTGCGCGTAGATTGATATTGAAAATTATCCAAATTTGCAAGTGGCATGCCCATAGTGCAATATTAAGTGAGAACACTTCATTTTCTTTTTGCTCTTTACTTTGAATTCACAACAGATATGACGATAATAATTTGCAGATTTATGGAAAATAGGAAAAATCGACTACACCCACGTAAAATTATACAGTATCGACATTTAGTTCTTCTAACGAAACGTTTGCAACATCCTCATCCCACTTTTGAATCTATCTAGGCATATTTGTCTGCCCGCACGTTCGTCTTCGTGTACGTTGGTTTATTTTCTTGTAGTAAACGTCGTTCTGAACTCAAAAATGAACACATCGGCTTCTAATTCGACATGAATATTGCGGTTGCAAGCAGATCAATATTGAAAACGTACTAAAGCGGTCAGAGGATGTGCTCACAGTACAGGGATATGTATGAACATTCTTTTCAAAAGGAAAAAAAAAAAATGAGTATTTTGCTCATTACTCATAAATTGCAACAATAAACGCTTTTATGTTCTCTTTCAATATGAAAGTTTTGGATGTAGAAGATTCGGCCATAGGAGAATATAGTTTTTTTACTTAATTTTTTTTTTTTTTTTAAACACGATTTTTGTGAACTACGTCCCCGTAAAGTAAAGCAAAGCAGAAACATTTTCAAACTTACTTTTGCTATTTTTTATCTTTAATCTTTAGTTTTCCTTATTCTAAATTTAAATAATAACATTCTATTAAAAAAAAAACACTCTCCAAAAAAGAATAAAATTGTTTATGTGTTTAATAAAAAAACTTACGGAATCGATTCCTTTGTCTTTGCCTGGACATTTAAATGTAACGTACTCATGACAACGTTTATGAACCACATAAGAACACACTGTCATAGAATAATAGAAAAAGGAAAAACGAAAGAAAGAAAAAGTTTATATTTTTATTATTTAAAAAAAGCAGGAAAATTTTTGTTGACAAGATGTCTTTCCACCAAATGTTGTCTCCCGTAGCTGGAGCGTTGATTGCGAGTGCCAAGTTTCTTTATTTACCTTGACATTGAAAACCTTGTTTGCCAAAACCCCTGCAAAATAAAAATAAACAATAATTCTTTTTTGTTCTCTTTTGAATGAATAAAATCTAGTTAAAACTATGCTAATTTTGTTGAATGCCTGTAAACAGAAGTAAGATTTAGTTTTGAGTAAAGTTATAAATTGAAAAATAATATTTTGATGAGCAAGAAGTAAGGAGAGATCGTTTAAATTGAGCATTAGTTTGTTTACAATATTTTATTATAAGATAGAGCGATTGTATATATCCTATGTTATACATTTCAAATCTATGGGATTGTTACATTTTTCAGGCTTCCGTAGAACATTTTAAAAAAAGTCGCGATTCTTAACTACTCGGCTAGCTTTGCGACTAGGGCGGCTTTTTATTGATGTCGCTGGTGGTACACAGATGCGAGTGAGAACTGAGATGGACTCACCTTTCATTATTCAGAATCACTTCCGGAATCGTTTAAGCTTCTCTGGCCGTCTGTCTGCCTACCCCCTCCTGTGTTTTTGCGTCGAACATACGGATTGTAATTTTTCTAAAGGTTGGATAAAAATCAGCAACTTAAAAATCAACTTATTTGAAACTTTAATTTAAAAGCTTTAAAATTTAAGATTTAGTTCTGCGATAACTATAGCCATCAACTTTGCTGAACTTTGAATTTAATCCGGAAAATCAGAATCTTTGTATGGAAAATAAAGCCTTATTGCATGCAAATGGTAAAAGTTATTTGATTTGAAGTATTGCTTGCCGCTGCCTATGCATTTTTCCCACTTGCCTGATAAATTCTGGATGCCTTGCCCAAAAACGCTGTTGCTTTGTTAAGGTAAATCAGTCAGTGAGCCATTTTCGCACATTTCTTGAGAACTAAAGGAATGCAATCAAGTAGTAATCAGAAGGGCTTCCGTTTGATAAGTAAATGACAGGTGCTATCATTTCACAGTTGAATCTTTCCAGTAGATAGATGAGAGGATGTGATGTAAAAAATGACCTTATGATACGTTTTTTGAGCAGTTAGGAGTTCAAATCAATTAGTTATTGTTGATAGTGTTTGGCTTTAACAAGTAATAAAAGATGAAATTCTTCTGATCCCGTCAGATACAGAATATCGACCGTCTATCCAAACGATGAAGTTCACCGTCGTTGTGGATGGTACATACCCTTGGATCTATCCATGAATTTTTACGCTTCGAATTCTCAAAACGAATTCACTTTTTTCCCCAATCAAGACACAATGCAAAAAGAGCTTTCTTATCGTTCATGAAAAGAAAGAACACTTTCAACGTATCTGCTTTATTCGACATATGCTTTGCTATACAAAGTATTATTGCGTTGGGACATGTCTTTGTAGTACTCCAGTTGAGCCACCTATGTCCTTTGCTTGGAGCCATCTATCGACAAATTTAGGTTTCATGTTTCAACACTTGGTATCTACGCGAAGGCAGTCGTGGAGATAATTTCTTTTCGAGATTTCCATCTATTAATTTCATCAGTTACTTTCTTTCTTACAAGGCGCAACAATTCCTTTTGCGTGGGCTATATACATTGTTTAAGTTAATATTTCGGCTCGCTTTACGTCTGCTTATTACCTTTAAGGGGAATCCTTGGGATTGTCGTCTTTGTTTGCAAGTGCGATAAATTTCTCTTTTATAAAATGAATTTTGCTTTAGGCATCTATGTCGCCTTTATAGATGGCAAGTAATCAACTTAAGTGACATAAACATGTATATATTTACGTTTCCTACGCTAAGTATTTATATATTATATATTTATGTCAGCTTTATAGATGTTTGTTCGCAATTTACACGAAAACTGAAAATTAATGGTCAAAAACGCTTTGGCGACATGTTAATTTTTAGTTATCACTATGAAATCACTCTCAACAATAATAAATAAAAAGAAAGAAGTGAAAAATTTTATATTTTTTATACTACAAAATTTAACCTTTGCCTACTATTGAAGTAGATGTCGGACAACTTTAAAATTTTAATTATTTACTTTAAGTCCCTTAGCATTTGCAGCTTCATAAATAAGTTCAAAGAAAAAGTAAAAAGCACTCCACTTGTCTTTTGCACTTCCTTACTGCTTTACACGTTTACCTTGCCATCGTTAGCACTATTTTATGTTAACGTGTCTTACACAGCACATTTTCCACTAAGCATTAAGTTCTTTTAATGTAGTACATATTTTTTAAGAAGAGTTATAGGAATTATAATTAAAAACTTGTCTAAGTCAACATTCACACCACATCTCTAATTAATTGTAGTCTTTACGCGTCTTAGAAAATTTAATAATAATTATTATTATTAATTAATAATTAATAATATCACTGTATTTAGTAGCTATTAAAACCTCCTAAGAATTTCAGAAACCCAGCTAAATTTATAATAATATATTTAATTAATTGAATTAATTGAATTCTTTTTATCATATTCTCATGTATATTGGCCGTTGTAAACATTTTCGTCAAATTCGGCAGAAACATTGGACGCAACAATGGCCGAAACCGGCAGAAAGACACGCCTGTAATATTACGTAACGTGAAGTCATCCTTGTTTTTCATGTCTTTTGCTGATCAGCTTTAACATACGGCAAAAATTTGACGGTATACATCTTTGAAAATGGTTCTGAAAAGAAGAATGTGAATTTGCTTAGGTTGTTCGAGAGCGGTAATTCACATCTATTCGCCTTATGTAGATGAATTCAGGTAGAATTTTCTGATTCTTGGCCTTTAATTTGATAGTTTTCCCATAGTTGACATACGCTAATATACCAAATTTTTAAAAAGATTTTAAAAATAACAGTTTGAATTTCTTTAGCTTGTGTGAAAGGTATTTTCTTACAGCTGCATGTGGTTTGCAGAAAACCATCTCCGTTCCGTAATTTGGATAAAGTAGGCTTTCAAGTCCAACCATGTGTTTACCCTAACTAATTAAGCGTGTGTAACGAATATATATGTCATGATCCGTCCATCCGTCCTTGTCGGACTTTCTTATAAAATTTTATCATTATGAAGGCGTATTTACCGTAATAATGTGTTTTAGAAAATATTTTTGCCATTTTATCAAGTCGTTCCACTACAACCTACTTTCATATTACACATACTCGACGAGTATACGAGTATATGACAATTAGTTGGTTAATTTGAATTTATTAAATTTGTGCGGATTGTTGAAATGAAATAGATTCACTTTTTAATATACCGAATCGGTTCTAAATCACTTTCTAGTTCGATTTAAACATTCTTGTGTTCAACCAATAAGTCGCAATTTTCGAAATATTTCGATGAAATTTCCTACAGTAACATGTTTTGGCCCGAGAACGAACGCTGTTGAAGATGGTTTGGCTCGGACCACATTTTGATCACTTTCCATATAACGGACAGACAAGTTTCAGAACTCATTCTGAACCTATCGGTATGGTGTTATTTCAATGATTCTTAATCAGTCCTTGAAATCCCTTTCCCTTTATGTTCGAAGAGTAGTTTCACGTCGAAAACTGTAGAGGCATCGCCAAGTTGGGTGTCTTACCTAAGTTGTTGTTGTAATTAGCAGTTAAAAAATTTCGTCGGAAGTATTCAGCAAAGAGATTTCAGGTTTCAATATCATCAGAGGGCTCAGAGCTACATAGAGAAAAGCATGCGGGGGCTATATGGACATTTTTCTTTTGGAGTTGACAAACTTAAAAAAATATTTAGGATTAACGAGCAATGCTTTGACCAACTGAGATAATTATATCTACGCCTTGCAGCACAAGAGGCGAAGTAGTCGTAAGGAAAACAACTTTTCATATATTTTTTGAAAATTTTTGCAATATTTAATTCTCTTGTTAATCTGACGACGACTACGTTTAACATATTATAGAACGAAGACAGTAAGGTTTCAACATTCCTGCCGAGAAATCGAACATAATGTGTGAAAGATGAGATTTAAGCAGTAAAATATTATTTTTATTGAAATCATAATGTTTACTGGAGGATTTGGCACGTTAGAGTGGTTCAACAGACCATTATGCCTGCATTGCTGGATGATACGGATCCTCAGCTAAACTAAAAAATGGACAGCGATTTACAACTATCTCTAGGAAATTGGCAAAGCAAAAGCTAGCAGCCTGCTATTACAATTAGGGGTACGGTTGTATTGAAGTAAATTACGATCAAGCAATTCATTGTAAAATAGCTCTATCAGATGTTGAAGTGGGGATCGTACACACAGAATTATCACTATAGCACCAGCTGACTTCTGGAAAATTGAAGCCCCCGACGATATGGCTATGTAAGTGGATTTAGACTTTTCGGCCTCGCCACAAATGACGGGAGCATGAGAGTGCGATTCAATCGATCCTTTCTGAAAATCTGGAGAGAACTGCGAAAAAGTTCCGGCGAATGTAAATCAGGCTTTAACGAAGTTTTAATGAAAGCTAAACAAGAAAACTCTGTGCTTACCGAATTTAGGAAGCGAGAGCGAATTTTTGAGTTAAGGGCCTTAACATATTGGTAAATGAAAATCACCAGGCCTGAAAAAATATTTAGTTTTTTGAGATTGAAAGAGCTATCGAAGTACTAAGTGGTCGTTTCCGAAGAATGAATTCCTTAACAAATAAAATTTCTATATTTCCAGTCGGAACTAAAACTTTAAAAAACGAGATAGCTATAGATTGAGAGGGAGTCAACTTAAATATGCTTACACGCATCAAATTGACGGATGGAACTTTTACAGCTAGATAATGTTTTATGTCGTCTTCAGAGCGTCAGGCGCTAGTCTTGAAACAAATATTGCCTTTCTGGGGGGCACTGCCGTGAAGCAGACCTCCTCCTTATTAGGTACGACGGTATTCACTGGCAGAGAGTTTTGAGTTGGCAAGAATATAGAGGGGATGGCCATACATACTGTGGGAATTTCCCAGCATGGCCACCAGCACACGAACCCGGATTATTAATATTCTTTGGAAATGTAGACAGGGTAGCCTAAATGGCACCGCTAGGAGGAGATACACTTGCCACTTCAGCATAGCTAGAACGAAGGGGGC